ATATACCCAACCGATTGTTGAATAATTGTTACCAAAACAAATCTTAATTTTCAAAATCATCGCTAGTGGGATTTGAACCCTAGACCTGCCATTTGGGGGTGACAACTTGCCAACTGCACTATGTCACCACACCCTTATACATGCTTTTTAAAAGATATTTGACATAATAGAATAATTTAATATGTACGATAATAGTTTTATTAATTACGCAAGATTTTAAGAAAAACTATTGAGGAACGTGTAACTTGTATTAAAAAATCTTTTAAATGAGTTTTTACAATCGTCTGATTTCTTTACAACGCGAGTTATTTTACTTCAAAGCTAAATTATGCGAAATCGTATATACGAGTAATGCCCGTTGATTGGCTGCCTTAGTTCAACGATTATCTATCTGTTTTTGATCATGTGTTGACAAACGGTTTTGATTGGTTAATTATAATATGACAAAGCCCGTGTTTTTCCGAAAATTGAGAAAGTTGCTGAGAATTTGAATTAGGCCATACCGATACAAACTTAATAAATTGGTTCTCACATGAAATTTTTGAAAGTGAACCGGCAAACCGGCATTTGGTTTTATTTTCAAAAAATTTTTTAGAAAAACTCACCCGGATAGTAAATATACTTAAAAAAGTTAGGTTAGAATTTAGGGTTAGATGTTGATTTTAGTAGGTTTTATATTTTTAAATTGAGACCCGATTCCAAGCTTTATCCCCGACAATTAATATGAAAAAAAAGAAACACAATTTTTTTTTTAACGTTTCTAAACACCAAAATGTCATTTGTTCTGCTGTGTATCAAAACCAATTTATTTGAGGCTAATAAAAACTGCCTGTATTAAACGCTCAAAGGAAGTATAGTGGTAATTTTAAAAAAGAATGAGAAATTCTTGCCACACGAACTAGATATAAGTAGTGTTATTTAAGTTCTATAAAAATTAGATGCACAATTCAGGACAACTGTGATATCAAGATTTAAACCGATATCCTCCGCTCCGCACCGGATAATGAGCACAATCATTTATTTACATTTTAACAATCTTGTATAAAATTAAAACTTTAAAGGTTTTGTTTAAAACCTTGAAGATCAAATAAGTAATTAATTTAGCAATATCAAACGTCCATTGGAAATTGACAATAATTATAATTAAATAATTATTTAAATTGTTTGTTAATATTAATAGAAGCGCGATTCACCATCTACTAAAATCGAAGTTATAACCGGTGGGCTTTGGTTTTTTTGGAGTTATATCTACAAAATGTTCTTCATTCGAATCATCTTCATTATCAAATTCTCGTTTTTTTGTTGTAGAGGATTTTAAATATTTTCCAACTATACAATTATCTTCTTTGCTTATACTAGATGATGATGCTAATTTGTTACCGAACCAATTAGTTGTTGAGTCCTAAAAT